ATTTCTAATTGTTATTATTAACTCACAAGATGATATTTACCAAAAAAACTTTTACCAAACAATTTATTTACCAAGAGAAGAATCACTTTTCCGATTTTCTCACTCGTTAGATCTATCTATACCGCTCGACGCTTCAAACCAGACTGAGTTCAGCTTTGAACATCTTTTCCTCCAGATTTTATGATTATAAATCTTACTATACAGTGCGTGCTATGTTCGCATACCGACCTTTCTTCTACAAACTTGCCTTATCGCTCTTTTCAAATGGCGCCTTTGAAGTGCTCGGACCGTCGTGAGCACGCCTCTCACGTTCTCGTCAAAACCCGCTGACATTTCTTGTATATATCTTAGTAATTTTACTATATTTTGATTTGATTTCTTGTGCCATTTCAAGAGAAAACTTCAGGGAAACATGCATGTCTCAAAAAGTTGCGCTGAAATAACTCAATTCCCCGTAATCACTAATAAACTTTAATGTCCCACGAGAGGAGACATCCGAGCGATATGCTAGAATTACGATGTCCCACGAGAGGGGACAGCGGAGTGCAAAGGGTTAATACTTCCTCTTAAAAATTATTCGAGATGTTATTCGAATAATTTATTCGATACGTTATTCGAATAATTGATTCGAATAAAATGTGCCCAACTCTGCGTAATACTTACGATCGAGGCACGGCTCTCGTTCCCGGTAAACCGCGTTCGCCGTGGGTATCAACGAACTAACGCCGAGGCCGCTCGTGTCCTCCGCGTGCAACAGACAGATCGGGTCGCCGGTCGAATTCTCCAGCGTGTATCCCCGACAGAGGAAACCGTGATCGTTCGAGTCGCAGCTTCGCTCGCACTGAATTCGAGACGACGACGGATCATCGGTGATAACTCGAGAACAAGCGTGCTCGCGCTCTTCTTACCTGCTTCTCGTCGATACCGGCCAGAGCGACCTCCGAGTACGGCAGCGTCGCGTTTCGAAACTCCGCGTACGAACAGTACTCTCGGTTCGCTGAAAAACATCGCAGAGCATAGACACATGGACCGTGGGTAAGCTGGCCTAGCGCGATTCCGATTTACTCACAGACGGTTCGACACTGGTCCCGAAGGTACTCGTCCCTGTACATCGAGGCCCTGTAGGCCTGCGGTCTGATGCCTCTCTCGAGCAGTGACAGCGAACACCGGCCGATCGCGTTCTCGGCCGAGAGCGGCTTACTCGTGCGGAACTGAGCCGATTTGCAGCTTCTACCTGTGACCAGTGTTGAGATTGATACCGCGTCGATACCTATCGATATCACTTGACAAATTTCGATCCAATACCGTATTGTATCAGAGACGTACAGTGACTCTTATAATATTCGGATATTTAAAAAATTGTTGCTGATTTCGATTGTTTGTAATAGTAAATACGGTGTTCTTGCTTTGTAATATAATAGAACATTCACTGTAGTTTGTAATAACATAAATTTTATTTATTTATCGCACATACTTTTCTTAGTACGAAACTGTGAACTAAATTGTGTCAAAATTTAACGTCGTAAAAATATTCGGACGCTCGACAAACTATAATATTTAAACATGAAAATTATTAACGTAAGCAATAATTAATATTTCGTTGGATAGCCCCTTAGCTTTAATTACGTGTCGCAACCGTTTAGGCATATTGTCTATAACTTTTTGTAAGTAACTTAGTGGTATACGTTTGCATTCTTCAATTAATCGTTTTTTAAATTCTTCCTTCGATCTTATATCGGTATTGTTCGAATTTTCCTGTCCGAAAGATCCCCTATATTTTCAATGGGATTCAAGTCTGGTGACTGTGGTGGCGGATGTAATACTGTGAGGCAATTAATACATAGAAGGTATTATTGGCCTTATGTTCACGATCATTATCTTCGTAATATTTAAATGTGTGTTCTATATCCATTGCGGTCACGCTTTTCTTAAGATTTTGTTTTCAAATATTTAGATACTTAAATTTATCTAAAAATTTTTTTTATAAAAACCAGTTGTCCAACTCTTTTTGATGAAATAAACTCCCAAACTCCCACACCATAATATAGTAAAGTCTCTCTAATTGACGCTCAGGTTGTACACAAAAGTGGACAATTTCGGAAGAGGAGATGCGATTATTCGAGCCCTGTGACTTGTTTATATAGTAACCGAGTGTTAATAACGAGCCGCAAGACTGGAATAATCGACTTACTCTTCGTAAATTATCTATTTTTGTTTCCAAGCTGTGCGTCAATTAGGGAGAGTTTACTGTACTTCCACAAGGGTGCTTTATTATTGGATTTAAATTTATTCGGTTAAGCTCTTGATTTCGTTTACGCTATATTAATTTTCGTCCATCAGTGTTAAACAGATTAAATTTACTTTCATCGGCAAAAATTACATTATTCCACCAAATTTTTTCCTTATAAACATATTGTTTTGCAAAAGCTACTTTTTTTCTGCGATTCGCCTTATTTATTTAGGGTTCACTTTTACTTATATATCTTATAATATCAGCTAAGGTATTTTTACTTAATTTCAGGAAATTACCGATTTCTCGATACGTTTTCTCTTTTTCTTAGTGAAAAATTCCTAATTGTCGTATGTCAAAGGAAGTATTGTTACTTTTTCATCCCATACTTGGAATTTCTAATTGATCCTAACGACCTTCGCGAACAATAACTGACATTGTGAAGTGTGTTCTTTCGTCCTGCTCGATGTTATGTTTGTAAACAAACGGCTAAGGTGTGTCGTTATCCGCAAGAAATGCGAAAATAAATTATCTGTTCGAATATTTTTGCGACGATAAATTTCGTCATAATTTAGTTCACAGTTTGGTGCTAATAAAAGTATGTGCAATAAATAAATAAAATTTATATTATTACAAAGTACAATGAATGTTCTATTATATTATAAAACAAGAACACCGAATTTACTATTGCAAACAATCGAGACCAGCAACAAAATTTTTTGAATAGCATTATGTCCGAATATTAACCTTTTCGGTACGGCTGAATTCTGCGCGAGGCTATTTCTCTGGACGACAGAGTCTGATATGTACTGTACAGAGTCTGATACTGTATATTCTGTCTGTATATACAGGGTGTCCCAAAAATGTCTCGCAATCCGAAAGTATCGGGTCCTTCAGGCCATTTAAAGCAACTTTTTCGTTTACAAAAATTTTCTCCGAGGCACCGTTAACCAGTTATTAACGAAAAACAGTGACCAATGAGAGGCGAGCTCAGCTGACGCGAGGCGATCGAGCCAATGTGCGGAACTGGGCTTCGTGCGCTGGTTGGCTGGGCCGCCTCGCGTTAGCCGTATCCGATTCTTATTGGTCACTGTTTTTCGTTAATAACTCGTTAACGGTGCCTCGGAGAAAATTTTTGTAAAGGAAGAAGTTGCTTCAAATGATCCGAGGAACCCGCCATTTCCGGATTGCGAGACATTTTTGGGACACTCTGTAGACTGTTGTAAATCGATGTGAAGACAAAAGAAGTGTGAAACAATGCATATAAAGACGATTATTTGTGATTCAAACGATGAGCGAGTGAGCTACTAGAGCAAGCCACTATAGTGGCGCGTCGTCCAGAGAGATGACATCCGCGAAAGCCACTATAGTGGCGCGTCGGGCCTAAAAGGTTAATAAGCGTCACTGTAGGTAACAAACAGAATCGGCATCTCTTCAATACCTATTCTAAAATATCGACACCTGATTGATACTTTTACCGGGATGTCGATGCCTGACTGGTAACTGCTACAAAAATACCGGTGTTGGTACACTCTCTTGTGTGTGTAAACTTTTATGAAAGTATCAGTGTACACAGAACGAAAGTATCAATACTAATACAACACACGAGGAAATAGGAATAAATAAAAACAATAGGAATTCGTTCTATGGGAATCATTTTTACAACTATTTCGTTCAATTATGAAAACGTAAGTCCGTTTATTAAGATGACTCGATGAAGCATCAAATGAGTATATTTAATATCGTATGATATTAACAGGTTTACGTCGGCGCTGCTATTTCAGTTTCTCGGTACATATTGGGCGCCTGCTTTGGGAGCAGCCCAACCTCTGAAGTATAGAATTATCGATGACAGTCTTTAACAAACGTTTTTAAAACTCATTATTACGTACACCATGGTAACCCAATATGTTCATATTTGATGGCACTCATTGTCCGATGAGAAAGACTTGTCAACCATCGGCGATAAGCGCCGCTCGATGGAATATTTAAGTGTGAGTCACCGGTGAAACGCGTCGGCGTGAACGTGTTAAACAGGTATTTACAATTTCGTTAGATATCGGAGGGCTATCGATTCATTCGTGTAGTGTCAAACGGGTATCGATACTTTCGCGGAGTATCAAAGAAACTTCGATTCAACACAGTATTGGTTTGGTATCGTTTTAAGAAGGAGCGATGCTAAGTACCTAAAATTTCGATACATATCGACCTCTGCTATCATGTACTTTGACATCGAATTGACTGAATATCAGTCTCGATTCCATCACTACCTGTGATCGAGATGTCCGATGACGATATCGGTTCCGTTTCCGTTTTCGAACCGTGAACGCGCTCGAGGCGAACCCGTGCTTACTAGGAGTGTTCAAGTACCCGAAATTTTCGGTCGATCCCGAAAGTTTATAGAATTCGAGTATCCGAAGGAGAAGTCGGTCAAGTCGGGATCACGAAAAATTGCAATGTCTGTGTATCCGAATTTAATAAAGGGGGCTTTTCGATGACAGAAATGTGATGTTTCTTAATGATTAATAATAATAATAATACTAATTATAATAATAATTAATATATTATATTATATATTATTATTATATATATTAATATATAATAATAATAATAATTAATAATAATAATAATTTTCCATATAATGAAATATAAAATATAATGAAATATAATGAAATATAAAATATAATGAAATATAATGTAATATAAAATAAAGGATGCGAGGCAGCTCGCGATAGAAAACGTGAATATTATTTTATTTTCAAATTGGCATATAGAAAAGACAATTGATTTCAGGATACCGACGGATACTCGAATCATATAAACTTTCAGGATCCCGAGCCGATCCGACCCGACTTCTATTTCGGGGCCCGATCCGATCCGACTCCGTGGCTCGGGTACCCGCACACTCCTAGCGCTTACCCGTTTCCACGCATATCTCGTAGCACTGGCTCCTGGTGATCGAGCGTGGCAAGTGATACGCGCCTGGATCGATGAACACCGCGCCCACGGTTCTTTCCACTTGCCAAAATCTGTCCCGCCGGCATCTCGCTGGAACTGATCGCAAGCGTTTAATCGACAGCGTTCCAGCAGACTCGACAAAGCGACACTAGCGAGCGACTCGTGATTACGGCTACCTTTCGCGCAGATCAGATGATAATACGTAGAGTTGGCTTCCGGCACGAGATCGTCGTTTTCCGTTTCCATGGTGTAGCAAACGCTTCTGCCGAAATCCACGACGAACGCGGTGCAGTTGGAGCGCGAGCATCTGCAAGTCGAACGAACGACGATCACGAACCGATCCGTCCCGTTTCCCGCATCACCCGTGATCTTATCACGTTCGGCTCCGACCTACCTCTCGAAGCAACTCTTAGTGATCCCGTTCGAGTTCACGGCGCTGAATAGAATCGTTTGCGACTTTATCGATTCCGGCTTGACGCCTCCGATCTTTTCCCAAGCGTGGTCCGAGCAGGTCGACACGGATCGCGGTTCTCGTTCGACGGCACGGTCGGCCGCCGCGACTCCGCCGCAAAACGAGATCGCGACCACGAGACGCGCGATCGTCGACGCGTTCGATTTCATTTGTCCGCCGGCGTTCCGCGCGCCCGTCGAGCCGTACGAGACTGTGCCAAGGATATTCCCGATCGCTGGATCGTTTTTTCCTATCGCGAGCCGCGAGCCGCGAGTCGTCGGTCGCCGTAGATTATATGCACACAGCCCGCTTACGTAACGAAGCGGGCCGCGCCGATCCTCGCGAACGCGAACGCGAACGCGAGCGTTGCGCGAGAACCGATTTCCATTCGAAAGTATTGTAAACCGGAGCTCGTTCTCCGCGAATCGTTCCTCTCTTCGGTTCCGGGCGAGATATCGTTTCCGATCGGCGCGCGCGGTCCGACCGCGATATCGGTCGCGAATCGCGATCGCTAAGCTTCGAACGGCGCCAACGACGAGGTGCGACGGGCCCGATCTCGCGAATCAGAACGCGATATGGCGACGGAGATGCTTCCCGATCCGAAACTCCTCGGAGCGAGCACGGGAAAAAATGCAGACGCGTCGCAGATGCACCGATGACTGACGCGTCCCGCAACGTGGGCACAACTACAGTGCAGAGTGCACGGGCTCGCGCGTTCACCTGTATCCTCGAAAACTAAAACGAATGGGAACAAACTCGGCCGCGCGCGCACCACGCTTCGCCAATCATCGGGCTATGGTGTAACAAAACGCGTAAACGGATGTCGCCGCGAATTCGTAATCGGCCGCATGGCTGCGCGTTGTTCCGACCGAAGCTGCTGCTGGTCCCCGTTTCGGCGGCGTCGGTCCCCGGCGAGGCGAGGGAGAGAACAACGAACGCCGCGACTGGTCGCGGAAGATCGCGAACCGAAGGCTTGGTCCCCGGTGCTCGACGAATACGCGAAACGAACGGCGAGACGAGCGGAGGGCAGACCGCGAACGAGTGACGCGCGACGCGTGACGCGCAATGCCAGACAAACGACACGGCATTCGCAGTCCGTCGATCGTTATCTCGCCTCGTCATCTATTTCCGTTTGTTTCGCGGTGACGAATCGCGGGAAAAGAAGCGCCACGCCAACGGTTGCAAGCTGCAAGACCGAAGCACGAACGTACACCCCCCTCCAAAAGTATTAGGAGATCTCCTTATTTCGCGTTAATTGTAATATCGCATTCAGTTCGGTCAATGTTTGCGAGTTTTATGGCATCGTGTCGTCGACGGTGTATAATTCAATGATCATTTATTGCATTTTCGTTCGTTGAAATCGAATCCAGGGTACATTTACATACTTCTTGCTCGGTGCGACACGCATCAATTCTTAATACAGCAAATACTCTACAATTGTACCTCGACTTGTATACAAAATGAGACAATCTCGGTCGAGCAGGTACGATTATTCGAGCCTCGTGGCCCGTCTTTATAGTTGCCGATTGCTCGAACACAGTAAATTCTCTCCAATCGTGACTCGGCTTGTAAATAAAAATGGAGAATTTCGGAAGAGAAGCCTCGCGGCTCGTTTTTATAGTCATCGATTGTCAACAACTATAAAACGGAGAGCCGCGACGCTCGAATAATCGCACCTTCTCTTCCCAAATTGCCCATGTTTCTTTCCAAGGTAAGGGTCAATTAGGGAGAATTTACTGTACCGGCATACTAAAAAATGCACGGGACCAAAGATTATCAGAAATAATGGAACAGCCACTGAAACGGATGCCGAAATTAGTGCAAAAAAGTAATTTAAAAAAGCGGTGGACGTATCGACGAAAAGAAAATTGAATTTCCTGTCATAAAATTACGTTGTTTGTACTGGCAAACGTAAAATATATTTTACACACTTGTTACAGTTCAATGTAATTAACTTTGAAGAAAAAGTTGTTCAAATTGCAAGAATTTCATATCGGTTTTCCACATTCGCCGAATTCTTCCGCGATTGTCCTAATACTTTTAGAGGGGGGTGTACATAAAATAGGGATCGACGATCGACAGCAAAGGGGAACGAGGTACGAGCTCGCGCTCGCGACGCGACGCAACGCGCACGAATTACCGCGAACGTCCTTCGGATTGCGTAACGACGGCGAACTTCGAATGCGTACGCCAAGCTGGCGAACGCTTTTCGCAAGAATTCGAAAGGCAACGCGAAGACGAGAGAAGATTGCGCGAGAATCAGAACGGACCCGCATCCCGTTTTCGGCTGTCGCAAGCGGCTCGCGAAACGATTCTCGCGCCCGCATCGTAGACGCGCGTCCGCGCCTCGCGGATCACCGGAACACGAAGATCTGGCCGATTTCTCCGCTCGCGTTGCCTCATCCGACCGTAATTTCCTTTCCTTTGCTTTAGAGTCAGAGGAGGTGTTTTCAAACGATTTCAGGCTGGACGACACTTTATTTCGCACAAAGGAGCAAAGACTGTAGGATTGCCGTACAAGTGTAACAAAGTTACGGTCGCATTCCTGTTCCCGCTTTCCGTGGTTCCTCTTCCAGGCTTCAGCTAACGTAACCGAGCATTCTTGAAAGATCGTACATGGTGTTGAACGTCGATACCGCTGCGTGAAGTTGCGCTGGTAGCAAGCCCGCCTTGTCGATGTTGTTCAGGCTACGATGCGCGAAGGGCACTAATTGCGTGGTCGTAAACTTGAGGAACATGGGGGTAAGAGACCGTAAGAACGCTCGCAGCGAGTCGAGAGAGAATCTCTGGATAAAGTTCAGAATGTTCGATAAATATTCTATCGGATGCGTAACGACGTTAAATGACGATGTCAGGGTATCTATCACCAAGCCTGGCGTTTGCTTAATCTGTCTTGCGACGCCCACCAGGATATTCTCTAACTTTTCGATCAGTAATTGCACCTGATCGATGAAGTAATCGATAGGGTTCTCGAACGACGGTATCAGCTGTCTCCGGTGTCTCGTCGTTTCGGTGGTGCGGCCCTCGACCTCATTCGACGCTCCAAGCGAAGCCTCGATCCTGTCGAGGCCCGTATTAACAGATTTGATCCACCGTTTAAGCGGAATCTCGATGTCCAAGAGAATACTGCGAGCAAGTTCCACGAAGGTCACCGACAGACCTCTCAGCGGGCCCCTGAGTTTCGTGATCACATGGTTCGGCAAGTCGCTCAAATCCACGCCGACGGCTTTGCCGATCGCGTTCATGAACGGAACAACGGCATTCGGCCCGCTCCCTCCCAATCCTCCTGAAAGAATCGGTTCTGTATCGTCGTTGTCGATATTTACGTTATCGATAAAAAATTCTTTATTAATTAATGTAATAAATAATAACCCCCAAAAAATAATTAATAATATTATAATAAATTTACATATATACATAAAATTCATTTTTATTATATATATATATACATAAATATATTCTTATTTTTACTAATCAAAATCATAATAATTCGAATAGAATATCTAATAGTAAAAATAGTAGCCAAATATATAAATATAATTCTTATAATTCTTAATTTATTAATTAAATAAAATTCCAAAATTAAATCTTTCGAATAAAATCCTGATAAAAAAGAAAAGCCACATAAATTTATAATAGAAAAAATTGAAACAATTGATTTTATTGCATATATATATATAATAAATCTCTTAATAGTCGTAAATCTTGAGAATATATATTACTATGAATAAAGCTCCCAACCCACATAAATATCAAAGATTTAAAAACAGTATGAATTAATATATGAAAAAATCCTAACTCAACATATCCTATTCTTAAAATACTCATTATAAACGATTTCTTTATCGTTGTCGATATTTACCGCTATTTTATAAATATAAATACGGATTGTAACCACGTCGATTTTGTAATTCTAACCATATATTTGAGCTTGACGTTAACGCTAAACCTACCGCGGTCAAAGTGACCGCTCTTTCTTATTTTGCAATTCCGCAAAGTTCCGAGACTCTTTCGTGGAAAACGCTTGAATAAATTATTAGGTCTACCGGGAAGTTCTGTCTGATAATGTCATTGCAAATTTCAATAGGTATGCACATGTTCATTTGAGACATATATTTTTGAAAAATGTTGCTCACAAATTGCCATCACGCCGTCATAAATAACGACGGAAATTACAATACACATATATACTATATATACTATATACTATATATACTATACTATATATACTATATACTATATACTATATACTATATACTATATACTATATATACTCTGTCTCTTATACACATCTAGATGTGTATAAGAGACAGGTATATATAGTATATAGTACATAGTATATATAGTATAGTATCTGTCTCTTATACACATCTAGATGTGTATAAGAGACAGATACTATACTATATATACTATATACTATATACTATATACTATATATACTATACTATATACTATATACTATATATACTATATAATATATACTATATACTATATATACTATATATATACTATAAATATTACTAAATTTATGAAAAATCTATTATTTCCTTTCATTTCTCAAACGGATAGAACTTTCCGGTAGACCTAATATACGGGATGTCCCAAAAATGTCTCGCAATCCGAAAGTGGCAGGTTCCTCAGGTCATTTGAAGCAGCTTTTTCCTTTACAAAAATTTTCTCCGAGGCACCATTAACCAGTTATTAACGAAAAACAGTGACCAATGTGAGGCGAGCTCAGCTGGCGCGAGGCGACCGAGCCAATGAGCGGAACTGGGCTTTGTGCGCTGGTTGGCTGGGCCGCCTCGCGTCAGCCGTCCTCGATTTTGATTGGTCACTGTTTTTTGTTAATAACTCGTTAACGGTGCCTCAGAGAAAATTTTTGTAAAGGAAAAAGCTGCTTCAAATGATCTGAGAAACCAGCCATTTCCGTATTACGAGACATTTTTGGGACACCCTGTATTATTGGAGCAAGTTATATAATAAAAATTTTACAAATCCTAAATAAATTCGGTTTTCTCACTTTCGTGAAGTGCCAGTTAGTATTACCGCTTGGTAAGTTTAGTGTTAAACGCTATGTCACCTATGATAACAGGGGAGACCGATGACCTTTGTAACACGGAAACGGTTGTGACATGTTAAACATTTCAAAATATATGACAGATATTATTACACGGTTCTGCTATACTGGGTGGTCCACGCAACTCGTGCATCTCTATAACTTCGAAAATATTCGTTGCATGGAAAAGTTTTGTGTACAAAGGTTGTATGGTTTAAAGGGTTACATTATGCAGTGCACATTTATTGTTATTATAGGTGAAGGCGTTTCGGAGATTTGACGGTCGATTTTATTTTTTAAAATAGAGTACTATTCTTTTTATATAAAAATATGGAAGAATGTCGAATTATGAGTGAAAAGGTTTTTTTTTATTATTATAATTTAAATTTTCTTCACTTTCCGCTGACCAGCGGAAATTTGTAATATGGTTGAAGAAATAAAGTAAAATTACTGTATTACTACTTATAAACTAAAATTAAGGTCAATATTTTTTTTACTCAGAATTCGATATTCTTCCATATTTTAAAATAAAAAACATAGTATTCTATTTAATAAAGAAAGTTGATCTTTAAATCTCCGAAATGCCTCCACTTATAGAAAAAATAAATGCATTGCATAATGTATCCCTTTAAACCATGAAACTTTTGTATAATGTATAAAATAACATCTAGGAACACATTCACCTATCATACTTATGTAAATACGAAATATACATCTGCATAATGAGGAACACAACTTATCGATATCTGAAAGTTAATTTTCCGTATTGTTTTAAAATTGTGATACAAGTGCTTTTTTTAGCAAATATATTCTTCTAAAATACCGACAGTTACTTCGCATTAATAAGCATGTTAGAAATAACAATTTAAAATTAAAGTTTAACACCGACAGTCGGTTTCTACGCTTAATTTTCTTCATCTTATAATTTAGATTAGTACCCGTATTTATTAGATTAACTAATAAATTTAAAATCAATAAATAAATTTAATAATAAATTTATAAATTTATAAATAATAAATAATAATAAATTAATACATTTAAAATATCATAATTAAACTTTTGGAATGCTTCGTATAAAAGTTAGTAAAAACTAATAAAGAAACCATGGTTAGAAGAGCATACGAAGATGGCTGGGAACCTTATAGCACAAACAAATTTAATGAAAAATGGGTCCAATGTTGTAGCTATAATGACTGGGCACGCAAAGAGTGTCATGCTGTGTTACAATCGACCCGGAGTCGGGATCAGTTGCAACACATTTTAACTGCTTCCCATATTTTATTAATAACTTGGATATTCCTTAATGCACAAGAAAATCATTGTAAGTGAATAATCTCAGATAAGTAGGTAAAAGGTTCGTACAATAATCTTCGTTGTAAACACAATAGTTTATGTGTAATCCTCTTCTAAAATCGGAGCGTTACAACACTCTCGTCACCGGTCTTCCTTAACACTAGATTTACGGAGCATTATATTAGTTTATAAAAGTAACAATAAGACATTGATTCTGATTTTTAACACTATGCCGTCCGCAGATCTTAGATATGATTGTTTTCTTCGACGCCGGCATAATAGCTTGAAAATTTTAAATTTTTCAAAAAATTTCGAAGATCGCGGTAATATAAATTCCTAAAATGAAGATATGTCGTCCAAGAATTTTCGTACTTAATTCTTAGTTAAATAAGCACGATGCTATAGTTAGTTTGCTGCCTTTTAACACCCAAGAAATATAGTTCAAATGTTATTTCATTATTTATAATGTTATTTCATTTATATTTTATTATGTTATTATAATGTTATTTTCAAATGTTATTTATTTATATTGTTTAAAATGGCACGTACCACCGGCATACAACAGATAGTTTTTGCATGGCACCAGCGTGGTGCCACCGGACGGCGTAGTGTTAACAAGTGGTATTGTAACGTTTGCCGTAAGTAACATATAAATTGAATAAATATCTTACAAATGTATCTCTACGATATGAACAATCGTAAATTAAAGAATTCGTGACCCAGAATTTTGACAGGTTCCGTAAATCTAGCATTAATAGTAATAATTCATTGACGAGTTAAAATCGTTTGACACGTAAAGTAGTTATGAATCATAGGTGATGCAATGTTTAATGTCTATGGAACTAATGGAACTAATGGAACTAAACAATCAATACGGTTACAATGTTTATTTGCATTTATAAAAATCCTGTTCAAGCAGTTGAATTGATCGAATAATGTTCTGTGCTGCTTCTCTTGTAAAAGAAGACTGTGTCTTGATTGTCTTAGAGGCAAATAGGGTTATTTTGAAACGTGGTTAGTCAGCAGAAGCGATAAATTCGTTAAAAATTCTAGAAGGAAACGCAAATGAAGAACAATACATTGAAGCGACATTGAAGAAACTGTATATGTATATTCATGTGAGCAGATATCGAAAGGTAATTGTGATCATAATAAGGCATATTTGATGTCCCAGTTTGATAGAACAGATACGCAAAAATTGATGTTGCATGGCTTCAATTTTGTAGCACTGATTTCTGTAATATGGACGCCATATGGTGGAACAATCGTCTAATCGTGATCGAACTAATGCACAATACGGTATTGGAAGAATATTTACGTTGCTGAAATATCTAGATGCTCTACAGATAAATCATAAAGTATGCAAAGCTTTATTGGTTACATTATGAATGTGACTGGAGAAAGATAAATCATAGAAAGGAATTACTCCCAAGTAACGAATTTCCAGCAGTGATCCCAAAAAATTGATCCATTAATCGTATAATCGTATATCAAATTATTCTTTCGACGAGAAAAGTGAATGATAAAGCATTAATATATACAGAGTGCTCCCACGTTAAATAAACCAAACTTTGGATCTGAATCTAGTATGGTAAAAGAAATTTCTCCTCTGCAAAAGTACGAGCATTTATTATTACTATAGTTGTAGTATCTGAAATAATTCAGGTTTACCGGGAAAATTACAAAAGAAAATTGTTCTATTTACAGCAAAAATAATGATAAAAATAATCGTAATTATGTCATACGTTATAGCTAAACATCACGCCTATAAATAACAGAAGGAGGAAAAATTTGTTTGTTTTAGAGAGAGAGTCCCTTTGTGTCTAAAGTTTGGCGATTTAACCCGGGAACACTCTGTACATTCGTAGCAAGCCTATCACGTTGACAACATAAAGTGACTTTATCAAGTTCGCCTTGTATTGAATACTGGAATATTGGATAACAACAAACAAATAAATAAATATCGACTTGCGTCATTCGGCGTCGACGATATGGATCGAGCGTCGAAGCGTACCTGATTGGAACACCGCCTTGAGCAAGTTTGGAATCTCCGCTGTGGAGATCGCGTTGGTAAGATCGTCGGGAATGCTGAGCGCGGTGCAACTCGTCGGCGACCCGTTCGGGCCGTACGCGATCACGATCGCGAACGCGAACGCGGTGATCGTCCAGGAAGGCTTCATCGCAATCTTTCGGTTCCAGTTCCGAAGCAGAACGAGCGAACGAGCAAACAAACGAAGCGAATCGCGCGTGACTCGGTTTCGCCGATCGTTGGAAGCTTGTCTTGGTCTTACCGATCGACACCGCTGTTTTTCTACCCTTTTCCACCACCGCGATATCGCGCGGCGGACGGGATAGGACACGATAACGCATAACACGGTACGACACGACACGGAACGATACGACGAAAACGACGACTCGCGTGGCTCGTCCTATCTGCGCTTTTGCCGTTATCGATGCTAATTTTCCGACCGCGCTCGCGTTCGCGTTCCGTTTCGTTTCGCGTTCGCGCCCGATGACCGCTCGATTCGACCGAATACTTGCCCCAAAATCGAGGGGAGCCCCTCGTCGCGATCCGCTCCCCCGTAGTTTTCCCGTGCCGCGGACGCGCGCGTTCCGCCGCCGCCGTGCGCGGCCTCAACCCGGTTTCTGTAATTTTCCCAGCCCGATCCGACGTACGGCCGACCAGACTGTGCCATTTTTCCGAAAATTTACGATCATCGCGTTGCGCGTCACGGATAACAACAACGTTTTGCTAACTGGCAATTGAAACAACCGCGGCCGATAGCGACGGTCCTTGAACGACTCGAGCCGCTCAAGGAATCGAACGCGGAATATTCCCGCGGCCGACGCGTTCGTCCACGGCGAAACCCCGACTACGCTCGATCGAATCGAATTGGAGCGAAGCGAAAAAGTAAACCGTGCTCTCCACCGATCGGCGAGATGAATTATTCGCGTGGGAACCGCGCGCCGGGTCCACGCCGATTTAGGAGGGTGAACGATGTTTGCTCGGCTCGGCAAATATAGGAAGAGACTTCGATGCGCCACGAAGCGATCGAGAACGGGTCGGGATTCGTTTCGCGGGAAATCAGCTACGCGAATCGTCCGAGCGATCGCCAGCGATTGCTCGTCGTTAGTCCGCGAGCGGCGATCGATTTCGCGCTAGAACGTTTGTTGTGTTTTCGTCGATTCCAATCGGACTAGGCAACTATCGGGGCGGGGTAACAAAGATTTTCCGCGCGCGTTTCATCAGAAATTCTCGGCACCGTGTCGCGAGTCAGTTCTACGTGTATCGCGAACGCGAACACGATTCCACGAGAGAGAAATGTCGCGGCAACGGCAACGGAGATCCTCGTCGAGACTCGCCGGACCGAGAATCAGCACCAAGGCGTGGCTGTTGCTCGTGCTTTGCGCCTCGGAGAGGGCTGTCTGTCTCGAGCCGATCGAAGCGGAACCCGTTCTAATCAGGCCGCTTCCGGTCTACCAAAACTTGATCAGGGGCGTTCACGACTACTTCAACAATACCTGCATCATACTCTTCCACGACTCGCCGAACCCGATCGAGACGAAAGGTGAGAGACAGAGTCGTTTCGGAACGAAATCCTCATCGAACGAGAACGCTTTCAGCTTTGCAGGATATCGACGGCTTGCTGTCCCTGCAAAAGTACTTCAGCGGAAATCTGAGCATACGAACCGCCATCATGGATTTCCACACGTTCGAGAGCCGAGTAGGTTGCGAACGCGTTGCGTCCGTCGACGTCGTCGCGGCAACGCCAGTCGTCATTCCGAAATTTGATTTCAGTTGTCGGGCACCTACAATTCCATCAAGAGGCCGTTGTTCGTTCTGCTGAACGATCTGGAGGAACTCAGGGTGGAATTCTCCCGGGTAAATTTCGCGCTAAATGTCGCGGCTCGAACGAGAAGCGAATCGCGTCTCGCGGTCTCGGGTGAGTATCGAAGCCGGCCGGCTGACTTTTCTTTCGAAATCGAACAGGTTTCCAAATGGATCACGATGGCCTATCCCACGTGGCTGCTGTTCCTGAGAAACGACACCAGATTCGAGGATTTCCTGTCGGAGGTTCACGTGCCGTTCGACTGCATCTTCATGGTCGTCCAGCCGGACGATCGGGGTGACGGTGAGGTGATCAGAGACGTGTACCGCATCGGCAGGGAGGAGGACTTGAGGTGGATGAAGTTCGGCGAGTGGAACCAGGACCGTGGTTTTCGGGGACCCATGATGGGCCTCTATCAACGCAGGCACGATCTCTACGGGCGTAACATCAGGGTGGTCACTGTACAGGTGAGCCCTCGGGACGAACGAGGTACAGTAAATTCTCTCAAATTGTCCCTCGTCTTGTACACTGAGAATGGACAATTTCGGAAGAGGTGATACGTTTTCCATTTCCGTCTTCCTGGTTTGTTTACTATTGTTGACGCGTACCTGAGAGTTATATCACTCTTACCAACGTCTCATAATGTTATTTAACACGTTGAATGCCACGAGGGTCACTGGTAACCGGCACTTAACTTGGCGGTGACGCCATGGGGGCCACCGGTGACCGGCGCACCCAAATTGGTAGAAATATATTGGGTTGACAACTAAGTAATTGCCGATTTCAGTTATAGATGCCTCTCACTCCTATTTTAACGATATCCGTAAATGTTATATTATAAAATTATTATTATTATTATTATTATGTTATTTTTTATTATCCGAGAATGTTAGCAACTGGACAAATTGAATGCGCGGTCAAGGAAAAGCGACCAGAATTGGTCAATCGTAAAGGTGTCATTTTCCACCAGGACAATGCTAGACCGCACACGTCTTTGTCCACTCGGCAAAAATTGATGAATATTGCTTGGGAATTGATGTTACACCCACCATTATAGCCCTGATCTCGCGCCATCGGATTATCACTTATTTCGATCCCTGGACAACTCCCTTCGTGGTAAAACTTTTAATGATGATGATGCTGTAAAATCTCACTTAACTCAGTTTTTGGCCGAAAACGATCAGACTTTCTACGAGCGTGGAATTTTCAAGTTGTCAGAGAGATGGCAAAAGGTCATCGGACAAAACTGCAGGAATGTTGGAAGGCAGTAATATATAATAATAACAACGATAATAAATAGACTGCGGATTTTATGCATTTATGATAAAATAAAAATAGATTGGTGAAATATGAAACTGCAGAGAGCTTATAAGAATTTAAGATTATCTACATATTGTTAACAACTAACTGACATTATTAAACCTTTGCACTCGAGTGATGAGTACAACTCGCCACTTATTGTTATAATAACGTATCAATATGATTTTAACATTGCCCAATCTTGTTTATATTTCAAAAACTGTTAAAAGTGTAATTGTTGCACGAAATTCAATTTCATACATGTAAAACGCAGTTGAGTCATACAAAATGGAAATACTGTAAGTCAGAAGAACTATTTTGAATTCAGAGTTAAAATGGTTTCGAGTGCAAAGGGTTAAGCAACGAACGAAATTTCTATCTTGTTCTTGTTTGTTGAAATTTATGAAGAAAGTTTTTATTTTGTATAAGGATCCGATGTCTAATAATAAATGATAACGATGATAATACATATGTATTCTTAAAAGGACGGAGGTAGACATTAAAATGAGTAGCGTACATTGACGATAGAAGATTGTTTAACACGTTCGCTACCAGTTTCACCGGCGTCCATAGTTATTGTATTTGGCTCGGATTGCAGGGTCTAACCATGACAGATCCTAGATATACATACAGAGTGTCCCAGAAATATCTCGCAATCCGAAAGTGGCGGGTTCCTCAGATCATTCGAAGCAGCTTCTTCCTTTACAAAAATTTTCTCCGAGGCACCGTTAACGAGTTATCAACGAAAAACAATGACCAATAAGAATCGAGTACGGTTGACGCGAGGCGGCCCAGCCAACCAGCGCACGAAGCCCAGTTCCGCTCATTGGCTCGGTCGCCTCGCGTCAGCCGAGCTCGCCTCTCATTGGTCACTGTTTTTCGTTAATAACTCGTTAACGGTGCCTCGGAGAAAATTTTTGTAAAGGAAAAAGTTGCTTCGAATGATCCGAGGAACCCGCCACTTTCGGATTGCGAGACATTTTTCGGACACCCTGTATATATCTTGCACGATACCAGATAATTTCGAAAGTTCCTTTCACGGATAATAAAACAAGACCACAAAGAAGGTGCGTGGTATGCTCAAAACACCGAAGAAAAAAAGACACTGTATATTTTTGTCCACACGTGACGTAGGACTTTGTTTAGAAAAGTCTTTCAATATTTGTAACACGGTATTAAATTATTAAGGTGAGAAAACTAATATTTTTTCTTATTACGAATTATATAATTTCATTAATTAAATGTAGCTGTGACAGACATGTAAAAGTTTCAATAATTAACAAATATTATGGAAACATTCAGAGTACATATCTGACGCAAAATGTCGACCGTACGATAGGAAACCGGGAAATGCGCGTCGTCTTTGAAGGGTTAATGCGACATGTTTTTATTCGTTGTCTTATTAGTTGCAAAATTATCTTTGGAAATTGTGGAATTTTCAGTAGTAATCAAATCACCACAGTTTTGCTAGAAGTTTGTTCATAGGTAGAATTCCCAAGATCTTTGTGGTAATTATAAACAAAGAAGACTCGATCGAATAATTACTATGTAGAACTAACATACTTTAACGCGTTAAGCGCGGCATCGCACAGTAGGACGGATCCCCGAAAACACGAACTAAACGAATAATATTGTTATGTTTACATCTTTCATTATAAGTAAAAAGGTTTCAGGGTTTTGGTGGAGTTTTTGTAGAAACCGATTATGGTATTATTTTTTTAATACGATGAAAAATTATGTTTATAAATTATTAAAATTTGTTTAATTAATTTATTATTCAAATTTTCATCCTTATTTCCGCATATTTTATAGTATCTGTATAAAAATAGATATTTAGGTTACAGTTATATCGCACAATGAATTTTTAGAATGGACTAAAACGCATGCATTTCATTTATGTTATTTTACTACATGGAATGAGAGAGAGAGAGATATGTTGTAGGTCATTGTATTCGTACCAACAAATGTTGTTATATCATGTACAAAAAAATACAGAGTCCCATTTAAAAATATTAATTTGATTTCAATATTTCCCCCATCATTACACCTGTAGGTATATTTTTTATATCATCTAACGTCTCCCTCTATACCAAACAACTTTTGTGGGTATATATTTTTGATAACTTTAAGCCCTCGCGAAGTATCGGGCTAAATAAATCGGTGCGGAGAGTGATTTGACGCGAAGGTGTTTGGCTTGTCGCAGCGGTCTTTCACGCATTGGCTACAAATAAATCGCTGTAACTTCTGCAGACGCAAACCGATGCAAAAAATTTGTTTCTGCAAGATCTGTCGTGACACGGCCTTGTAGCTCTAATCGAAGCAAAATGAAATCGAAAAAATAAGTGTATAAAAAAAAGACAATTTCAAGGAGTTAAATTATGTTTATCTCTCTATCGCTTCTGGAATTTATAATTATAAGTATGCTCTTTAATCGTACAGAAAGAGGATATAATTGGATGAAACCAAAAAAAATTTAATTAACCAAAGAACAATTACTCTATACAAGTCATTCTGGAATAGACGTTTCACCGCATTATCAAATTGCTTGAAACAAAATTCGAGGTGACTTTTGGCAACTCATAACATTCAAAATGTTAGTTCATGTATGTAAGAACCCGTATCTAAAGTTTCATACATTTTCAAAAAGGTTGAAAATTTCACTTTAGTTCGCGTTTTCGGGGATCCGTCCCACCGTGCATCGGTCGCCCGGGGCTTTCCGTTTGAGCGGCATCAATTGCCCGGTATGGGACCGGCAGTATCAAGGTCAAAAAATGAGCCGTTTATTTTTGAAGTGACATAAGTCTCTTTGTTTTTAAGTCGAGATATTTAAGGGTTTGCGTTTTAGCACGTTTAAAAATATGGATGCTAACTTTCGAGAAGATTTACTTGTATTTGTTATCTCAGGATACTGATATTTTTCTCAGTATAAATAATTTCGTATAAACATTAAAAAATCACCACTTTTCATTACGGTAAAGTGACTTAAGCCACTTTCAAAATAAATAGTTTAGAAAAATGACTGACATATATTAATTTTGTCCGACGTATTTTACTGAAGTGATGTTTTGAAAGGACAGTGATTTACTAAAATTGTTGAATAAATTACA